TTGTCAGGTTCCTTGGTTGGAGTTTTCCTTCTAGTACTTTATGTAGGGCTGTGTTTGTAGGTAGTTATTGGTTAAATATTTTTCTGTCATGGAATATCTTGTTTTGTCCGTCTATGGTGGTTGAAAGCTTTGCTGTGTATAGTATTCTGGGTGGCATCCGTGTACTTTAATGTCTGTATAACGGTTGACCACAGACGGCCTTCTGGCTTTCATTGTTTCCATTGAAAGTCAAGTATAAGTCTGATAGGTCTGCATTTATATGTTGCTTGGCCTTTTTACTGTGCAGATCTTAATATTCTTTCTTTATTCTATATGTTTAGTGTTTTGATTATTATGTGGTGAGGGGAAGGTTTTTTGATACAGTCTTTTTGGTGATCTGTAAGCTTCTTGTATCTTTATATGCATTTATTTCTTTAGGTTGGGAAAGTTTTCTTCTATGATTTTGTTGAATATATTTTCTGTGCTTTTGAGTTGGACTTCTCCTTCTATCTGTATTATTCTTAGGTTTGGTCTTTCCATGGTGTCCAATATTTCCTGGATCTTTTGGGTTAAGCTTTTGTTCTATTTTATGCTTTCTTTAGCCAGTGGATCTATTTCCTCAGTCTTATCTTCATCACTTGAAATTCTCTCTTCCATCTCTTGTATTCTGCTGTTTATACTTGCATTTGTGGTTCCTGATCATTTTCTCATATTTTCTATTTCTAGAATTCCCTCAGTTTGTGTTTTCTTTATTGTCTCTATTTCAGTTTTTAAGTCTTAAATAGTTTCTTTCAACTGTTTGATTGCTTTTTCTTGGATTTTTTTTAAAGGGATTTGTTGATTTCTTCTAATTTTTTGCTTGTCTTTTCCTGTATTTCTTTGAGGTAATTTTCATTTCCTCTTTAAGTGCCTCAAACATTCTCCTAAAGTTATTTTTAGGGTGTTTTCTTCTGCTTTATCTGTATTTGGCTATTCAAGTCTTACTTTTATAGGGTCTGTAGTTTTTATTGGAGTCACATAGTTCTTTGTGGTACTGAGTGTGTTCTTACCTTGCTTACCCATCTTTTCCTCTGATTTATATGGTTGCGCCTGTGTCTCTGGTGATCACTCTTCCAGGTGCCAGTGGATCCAAGGCTCAGATCATTGCTCCTTGTAGTGGAGCCAGGGCCATGGTTCCAGTCCCCCAGAGGTCACTCTGAGCTTCAGAGGTCACTCAGCAATCCCAGAAGTCATCTGTGTCTGTTCCCATGGAGGTTCCTCACTTGGGCCTACCCCCCCTGAAGGTTGCTCTCTTGGGACTGCTCCCTTGGAGGTAGCTTGCTCATACCTGCTCCCATGGAGGTCACAACCTTGGCCCTAAAGATTTATTTCTAATTTTAATTATGTGTATATGGAAGGGTGGGGGGCAATGTACATATCAACCTTGTGATTTTGTCATTAAATTCATTTATGTGGTTTATTGCACGTATTGACTTGCATATGTTGAACCATCTCTGCATTTCAGGGATTAGTCCATCTTGGTGAAGGTGATAATCTTTGGATGTGTGGGCACTCTGTTTGCAGGCATTTTACTGAGTAGTGTGGAGTTTGCATTCATCGGGAATCTTTCCTTCCTGTTGTTTCTTTTCCTGGCTTTGGTATTAGAGTGATATAGGAGAAGGATTTTCAGAGTACTGCTTCTGTCACCAACATGACTGCCCAATCATGAGCTGAACAAGAATGACGGCCGGGGACATGCTGAGTTAGGGGGGAAAGTTCATGACGTCTCAACCCTACAGAGAGATCTACATCTACAAGCAGCAAAGCAATGCAGAGAGCAGGAGACATGGTCTTCCCCAGGGAGGAGCACACAGTTGATACAACATCAAATGGTCAGTCCTGAAATCACATACATAAAACTACATCCTACAGACTGAGCAGGGTCTGTTTATGTATTTAGGAAATATTTGTGTGTATGTATGTATGTACGTATGAAAATGAGAAAAAGAGGTCACAAATTTAAGAGAAAGGAGGGGTAGACGGAACAGTTTAAAGGGAGAAAAGGGAAGAGAGAGATGATGTAGTTATAATCTGAAAAAATAATTTGAATCAATAACATTGACCATTCCAGAAGATTTTTTTCCTTTGCCGCTGGCAGTGTGGGAAAAGCTATGAAAGCTGTGTGACCTCTGCAGAGCTTCAGTTCACTGCAGGTGAGGTCACTCTTACCTGTACAGGGCCTGCTCTTAGCAGGACGTCTCTCTCACCTGTACAAGGCCTGCTCTTAGCAGGATGTCTCTCTCACCTGTACAAGGGCTTGTTCGTACTTAGCAGGACGTCTCCCTTACCTGTACAAGGGCTTGTTCTTACAAGGATGTCTCTTTTACCTGTACAGGAGCCTGCTCATAACAAGGATGTTTCACCAACACAAAACAACCCAGTTTTATAAAAAGAATATTTAAAATTCTATTGTTCCATGAGTATTTTTTTCTTTTCTTAAGCATAAAAGGTGATTGCTAAAAGGATAATATTTTTCTTATGAAAATGAAGTCCACACCATTTTTATCAGAACCAGGGTATGTGTGGATTTTAGAATTTATCTGTTACACCCACATTTTAGGCATGTTTCTCTTTTCATCTCTCTATGTATAGTTTTTTGTTTGTTTTGTTTTTGTTTTGTTTTTTAGAGACAAGGTTTCTCTGGATCTTTGGAGCCTGTCCTGGAACTAGCTCTTGTAGACCAGGTTGGTCACGAACTCATGGAGGAACTCGCAAGTGCTGGGATTAAAGGCATGTGCACCACTGCCTGGCCCTCCATGTATAGTTTTTGTGTGTGGTCTTTTTAGTCTCTTCATTTACAGTACACAAGATAGAAAAGGTAATTTTTCCTAACATACTCAGGAGGTGAGCCTTAGAAACTTCTCCTACTCAATTTCTTAAAAGCCCTCAAGCTGATAAGTCATAAGTACATGGCTTCACACAACAGGGTGACAACTGATAGCTGGGCTGGACAAGGAGTGTCCACTGCTTATTTACTCATAGGTAGTGGTTCTCCTTTCTTTCTATGACTAATCCTCTCAAAGTATATAGATAGATAGATAGATAGATAGATAGATAGATAGATAGATAGATAATAGATAGATAGATAGATAGATAGATAGATATAACTTTTAAATTACCCAAGGATTGCTTGATTCATCTGTTTATTGTAGATACAAGGGACTCACAGAAAGTCGAACTTAACAAAATAATTCAATTTTTTATTGGGTATCATCACACATGGACATTTTGATTGACATATACAAGTCAGATAACAAAGCTCAAATTTAAAATCTGAAGGGATCACTTTGCTCAAAACCCATTAACTTGTTAGTTTGTCTCTTCCAGAGGATCATAACTCTTGGCAGTGACAGCTAACTAGTCATTTCCAAATACCTCCATTTTGGAAAGAATATAAGACACCATTTAATTCCCATTCCAAAGCTCCATTTAGCAACCACAATGGTAGGTGGAAAGAACACTAGATGTCACAGAGGAAAATCTGTGCAAATCAAGGCAGTGACATCTCATGCTACATGCCCAGAGTACAGAAAAATATTTCTAACCTTAGTTTCTTTGTTATCAAAACAAGATCACAGTGCTTACCTTACAGTACTGTTTTCAAAACAAAATTAGATTTAAAACTATGTAGGTATAAATTATAAATTCTAAAGTCTATGCAATTTATCCTCATCATTCATGTATGAGAATGGTTCAGTGATTACTCAGTGAAGATTCATCAAATATTACATAATGGAGTAAAAATTTTTTCTAAGCATACACTGAGGTGACAATGTGTCACGGATCTGAGGACAGCACCATAAATAGAGCATTGCACCATGGAGCAGGGAAGGGAGGAAGGGGACACCAGAAGGAGCCACTCCATTTCAGATCCAGCGTCTAGAAAACACACCCAAGTCATTCTTCTGGGAAGTGTTCCATGTTCTTCATAGTCCTAGACCCAGGGCCAGCTCAACCGTGTCCCAGTCCCTTCTGATGGTCTTTCTCACCCTCAGCACCACTGATATTTAGTCTGCACAGTGTGGTATTGTGAGCGGGAGCTACTTCATGCATCACAGAATGCTTGAGGGCATCCCTGGTTCATCCTTACTCAATGCCAGCAGTGCCAATGCCCCCAGCAATGACACTAACAAAAGACTCCAAATGAGAACTATGACCTTCAGATCATGAGAAACCCACACAGGTGCTTCCAGAAAGAATGGAATTCTTTTAGCTAGGTACCAAACTCTGAATGACTAACCAAGCCTCCTGGAGCCCTTTGCGTGTGCTGGCATATTCCTTCAGAGTTTCACCCAGAAGAGACGTTGATTGTTTCTAACGCCCCCATGTGCGATGTGACAATAACAACACGTTTTTTTTAAGCACTGTTATGACAGTTTGTATGACTTTGTTTATCTGACAGGTTGTATGACCTTAGGCAAGGCACTCCGACACTCCGAGCCTCAGTTCTTAAATGGAGATGATAAATTATGTTTTGCAAGATCATTGGAAGAATTAAATGAGATAAATATAAAACATACAGCCACATGAATCTTGACACTCATTCCTTTGGTGCAATTAATATAGTAGGAATCATGTTGGTCACATGACTCAAGTGGATGGTGGTGCTTGCCACAAAAGCTTCACAATGTCAATTCAATCACAGAAATGCAATTAATGGTGGAAAGAGAGAACCAACTCCACAGAGCTGTACTTATTCCTTCCACATGTGACGTGTGTGCCCACCTCTCTCTCCCTCTCTCTCTCTCTCACTTTTTTAAAAATGAAATCTTAACAGACATCTTTCCCAGTTCTACCCATCGAAAGGGAGTATTATAGTTTTTTGTGGTACATTGATTTTGTAACTGTTTGGAGCTTACTGTATCAGAAACTGACACACTGGCGCCCTAACTCAGGCCTGACAAGCAACCACATTGCTTAACAGATCATAGATATTAAACTTCCCAGAAACATTAAAAATCGGTTCCTTGAACTAACAAGATTCAGGTCTGTAGGTCCTCTGGTCCTGCTGCCTCGGGCACACTGAGGCTTGATTGAGTCAGAGGAAAATGTTTTCTGTATTCTGTGTCCTTTAGTTTCTTGTAGACATAAATGGGAAGATCTGGAAATGTCCTCTGAAAATAACAAGAAGGGTCTCCAATTCTTTCCTTTATACTGAAATAAAACACAAATAGTTAGCGAACTGGCCCTAGGCTCTTTCTCCTTCTTAGAGTATGCCTTGACAGCTGTACTTGATTCTATAGCAGGAACAATAGGGACTTTGTAATCTGATGAATTAAGATGCTTCCTAACTCTTTAATAACTATGCAATTTAAATTTTATGAGCTTGTTTGTTCATTCATAAAAATGGTGGTAATAGCCAGGAGATGGTGGCACACCTGTTTAATCCCAACACTCAGAATGAAGAGGAACGTGTGTCTCTGTGAGTCTGTGGGCAGCCTGGTCTACAAGAGCTAGTTCTAAAACAGTCAGGGCTGTTACACACACACACACACACACACACACACACACAAACGTTTCTTTAAAAAAAAAACCCAGAAAAACAAAAAAGCATAGAAACAGTGGGAAGGGGAGGTAGATCTCACAAGACCGTACCCCGAGATAAATAGCTGTTACAGGCAGTTAATGGTGGTGAGAGCGAGCATCAGCCTTCTCCAGGAGCAAGACCCCTCTGAGAGATTCCAACCCAAGTAAGAAGCACTAAACAAAGACACAAATGAGCAACACTACGTGGACTCAGAAGGTTGTGCTTATCTATACATATGTATGTGTGCAGCAGCAGTTAGAGATGAGGTCATGAATTGGAGAGGACACTGGGGGGGGGCACAGGAAGAGCTGGATGAGGAGGGAAGGGTGGAAATGTCAATACAGTACTTATTATGAAATTCAAAAAACAGTAATAATAAAACAAAATGGTAATACAACTCCACAATTCTTTATAATCAACCTCTAAATAATAAAAAAGAAAACATTCTGAACTGTACTGTGTGTGTCTGTGTGTGCAGCTGACACTTCTGATAACTAATGTGGAGATGTGCTCAAGGTTAGGACTCTACAGTTGCTTATACGGTGGCCCTGTCTTCTGTTGTAGTCACCCAGAAAGATACTTCTGTTCAGTAGAACTCAACAAAGCTAAAAAGGAGGATGAGACCCTGCTGAGCATGTCTGTAACTGATTGTAAAGCCCCAGGGACTCAGAGAGATTCCTTTTTAAAACAGAAAAGAATTGCTTTTGCTTTTTCTCCTTCTCCTCATTCTTTTTATCCAACTCCTTCTTCTCTGTCAGGGCCTTACTATGCATTTCTGGCTGGCCTGGAACTTTCTGTGTAGGCCTGGCTGACCTCATGGAGATCCATCTACCTCTGCCTCCTGAGTTGTGCTATTAAAGACATGTGCCACAGCCCCGCCCTCCCACTTGCTTTTCTTTATCAAAGTAAGATTTCTTCTTTCCATAGGGACAGACTTACAACTGTGTTTTTTAATTGTTCTCCTGCATGGACGATGCACAAGAATAAAGGAAGCACTTACTCCTTGCTTTTATCCTCATTGATGTGCTCTCCCATATTCCGAATGAACTTCAGTAAATCGCCTACAGTATTCCGATAAGGATTTTTCTTACCATATTCCATTTCAGGGAAATCATCCATTCTTTTCATGACATATTGGTCAATCTAAAAAATAAAACATTACCCCCAAAGTATGATGACAAGATAAAACAAACCTTGACAGTATCTTAATAACAGAAGGTCAAATACAAATTTGAATAAATGCCCTCTACCAATGAATGAAGCAAATAGAACAAATGAAAGTACATGAAACCACCACCCACTGTGCCATGCGGGGCAGTTATGTCGTGTTTGAATGAGGCACTAAAAGTGACTGATTACATTTTTGTCTGTACTAGCTAGTTCCCAACAAATTAAGCCTACTAAAACCCTCTGTGGAAGTACCGACAAGCCTAGCCACTGTGGAAATCAGTACTGAGAATTCTCAAAAAGCTAAAACTACATCCTACCAAAAGAGCAGCTACAACTCTGCTGGGGATTCATCCAAAGGACTCTCAGTCAACATATCACAGAGATATCACAGAACTGTTCACAGTAGCCAAGATGTGGAGCCAACTTAGGGGTCCCTCAGTTGCAGAATGCTACAGAAAATGTGGTTTATGTACACAATGGAATTTTTTCAGCTATAAAAAAAAAACTTCTGTCATTTGCATGAAAGCTGATACAATGGAGATGTCTAAGTAGGCAAATTAAGTCACTCTCAGATAAATAAAGTAGGATTATGCTTAGATATATAAATTCATGTATGTAAATTTGACAGGAAAATAGAAAAAAACTGTAGAGCATCAGGGACTAAGGAAAGGGGAGGGTTATGAGCAGGGTAGAAGGGCATGAGGGGATATGCTCAAGGTATATCACATACTTATATAAAAATGTCTCTACTTTTATGTTTGTCCATTTCTAAAAATTTGAAGTTTGAGCTATATCTCATATGCATGCACTGAGCAAAGAATCATGACACACTCACTCCATACTAAGAACCAGCACACTGTGGCTCTCTGCCCCATGAGACTTAAAGACTGGCAAGGAAAATTTATATTAAATTAGCAATTATGAGTGGAGAAAAGGAAAGAAAATGAGAAGCAGAAGCAAATATGGAGAAGAGCAGAAGGCTGACATAGAGAATCTGCTGGTCTCAAAGACCTGAAGATCATGGATTCTCTCAGGGTGCATTGTCCATGAGCTGCACCACACAGCGTCATCTCTGCAGATATCCGCACCTCACGGGAACATGCTTTATTCTGCTTTATGGTGTCCAGACTGTGATGTTGGCCTAAAATATAGTTGGATTTGAGAAATACTTGTAAATTTACAAGCATGAGAGTTTGTGATACAGATTGAGATGCTGATTAATTTTATAGAGTTACCCTAAATTCGATTTTAGCAGAATTTGTCTTGAAGAGGAAGGATTTGAAAGGTTATCTTTTTTCATAATGTGTCTTCTCAACACAATGTGGGTCCTTGGAACAGGGCTGCTCACAGACAGCAGAGGTGTCTAGTGTGTCTAAGCTATGGCTTCATGGTGGAGAACCGCCTTGGCTTAGGCTCTATTTAGTCAATCATTCTTATCATAATAAAACTTTTGGCTAGACCTGAGGGGAGCTAATGGACTGGATTAAGGCCATCCTAAGGCATAACTTAATGACAGTGTCTTAGGGGTCCTGACTCTGAAGGAAGGAGAAGAGACTCAAAAGAGTCAAGAGGACTCATTTGGAAAGAAGAAAATGATCCCACTCGCTTCCTGGTAACAACAGACTGGTGTAGAAAATAACTTAGAAAAGGCAGCATAAATTGTTACATATACCCTCATTCCTAGACCAAGAAAGTGTTCATACCTCATCTTTCCACTGATAGAAATTTCTGGAAGGCTCAGGTGTCTGAAAGTTCAGTAGTTTGAGAATCTCACTTTCATTTTTTCGTTTTTTGATGTCAGATTCATTCCCCACATCCCGAAGTGCTCTGTAGCGGCTGAGAATGATAGAAAGATCTATTTTTCAAAAAGACAAAACTGATGAGCTTTGATTTTTAATTGAATTTCTATGATGGGAGAGGCCACTCATTGATTCCCACCTGTTCCTCAGTAGTTACAACCAGAATTCAGTAAGTTGTTGCCCCTCCCAAGGACACACTGCCTACAATGCCCAGGTGAGAGGAAAGCCTGGGCCTGCTGATGCCCAGCCCAGACAGCTGCTCATATCACAATGGTTCTCAACCTGTGGCTCACGATCCATTTGAGGGACAAAAGACCCTGTCACAGGGGCCATATCAGACATCCTGCATAGCAGATATTTACATTACAATCAGAACAGTAGAAAATTACAGTTACGAAGTAGTGACAAAAATAACTGTGTGGTTGGGGGTCACCACTGTTGTGAACTATGCTCATTGCTAATAATAAAGCTGATTGGTCGATAGCTGTGCAGAAAGAGATTGGGCAGGCAGCCTGACACGGAGACTACTTGTAAGAAGAAAGGTGGAGTCAGAGAGTTGTTGGCAAACAAAGAGAAGCCAGATGAGAATATCGTGCTGAGGAAGACACCAAAATATCAAGATAGATAAGAATATGGGTTAATTTAAGTGTAAGAGTTAGCTAGTAACAAGCCAGATCTGAAAACTAAGCATTTAGAAGTAATATAAGCTTCAGAGTGGTTATTTGAGAACTGGCAGAAGGGAGAGACTCATCTGCCTTCACACGGCACCATGAGGAACTGTATTAAAGGGTCTCAGCATTAGGAACCTTGAGAACCACTGCTATCACTCATACCTGAGGTCTACTTACTTCTCCCAGGTCCAAAAGAAAGGATGGCCAAGCAGGTCCTTCAGACAGTTCATTACATTTTCTCCAGGGGAAAACAGGCAACAAATGAGGTCCTTAGTCTCCTTGTCTGGAGACTTTTTTGCCACCTTTATATTATTTTCAGCCATCAGTATCTCAAAGGGGATTTCACCTTTCATTACCACATAGAGGACCAGCCGTCCAAGGGCCTGCACGGAAGCCATAAATCAAGCCAAAATTGCAACGTGGTAACCTATTTGGGTAAGCTTGAAAGATTTGACAGTATTATTATTGTCAATTTCATTGGTCACCAATCTGCTTAGAAGATTAGTAAGAGGAATCTCTAGGTGTGTCTGTGATGGCATTCACAGAGAAGATTATGATCATGAGGGCTCTGGCCTAATGGCCCATGATAGATTCACACTGCCAGTAGTCTTATATGGAAGTTGTGGGGTGTTGGAAGACAGAACGTGTTTGGAAGAAGTGGTGCAGTGGGGGATTGTCCTAGTGTCTATACCTTGACCTGGTCCTTTCCAGTTGTGGTTGAGTGTTGCTTCCTGTCCAGGATGAGCTGGTCTATCAATCCCTCACATCTAGCCTGAACTGAAACCTCTGAGACTGTGAACTCAAGCAAACTCTTCTTCCTTCAGGTTCTCACAGTGATGCATAAGTAGTTAGTCCAGACATTGTGGAAATTGAGGATGGGAGGGATTTTAAGGAATCTCTGGGCTATATTCCTGTGGTCCCATGATGTCATGTTAGCACTCTGGACTCCAAATATGTAGTTCTAGGTAAGAAAGGCAAAGCCCTGTGTACAAAGAGCTCTCAAGGCCACACATGGCCCACAGTTTAGGGTCCTGAGAGACCATCGTGGTCCAGAGCTGCTAGGATAGACTTGTTGGCAACAGGATTCACCTAGGTCCTGGATGTTCTGACAGAATGTGGATAAGTCAAGGGAGGATGCATAAGGACACTTGCTCAGATATGTTCATAACAGCATTATTCATAATAGCTAGAACATGGAGACAACCTAGATGCTCCCCAACCGAAGAATGGATGAAGAAAATGTGGTACATTTACACAATGGACTATTACTCAGAGGTTAAAAAAAAAAAATGACATCATAAAATTTGTGGGCAAATGGATGAAACTAGAAGAAAAAATCATCCTGAGTGAGGTAACCCAGACCCAACGACAAACACAGTGTGTACTTGCTCTTAAGTGAACAATAGATGTAAAGCAAAAGATACCCCGACTACTATCCACAGTCCTCAAGAAACTAGGTAACAAGGAGGACCCTACGAGGGATGCAAAGATCCCCCTGGGAAGGGGAAATAGTTGAGATCTCCTGGGTAAACTGGGATGGGGGGTATTGTGGAGGAGATGGGAACATGCTCAGTCGGGATGGTCAAGTTGGGGAAGGGATGGAGAGAAAAGACACCAGGGAGAAACCTTGATAGTGGTGCTAAGATGGCATTGGAGAAAAGCCTGGTGCAGGGAAGGCTCCTGCGGGTCCACGGAGATGACCCCAGCCAGAGCTCCTGGTAGTGGTGGATAGGGTGCCTGAACTGACCTTCTCCTGTGGTCAGATTGGTGACTATCCCGTCATCATAGAACTTTTGTCCAGTGACTGATGGAAGCAGAAGCAGATGTCTACAGCCAGGCACTGGGCCCAGATCTTGGATTCCAGTTGAAGAGAGGAAGGGAAATTATATAATTTGGGGCCTCAGGATCATTATGGGGAAACCCACAAAGACAGATGACTCAAGCTCATGGGAGTTCATAGACTTTAAACCAATAGCTAGGGAGCCTACATTGGACTGACCTAAACCCTCTGCATATGTGCGATAGTTGTGTAGTTTGTTCTGTTTGTAGGACCCTAGTAGTGGGACCAGGATCTGATTCTGGTGCATGAGCTGGCTTTGTTGGAACCTATTTCCTATAGTGGGGTGCCTTGCTCAGCCTTGATGCAGGGGGGAGGAGCTGTCTCAAGTTCATGTGCCATGCTTTGTTGACTCCCACTGAGGGCCTTACCTTTCCTCAGGAGTGGATGGAAGGGATTGGAAAGGGGGTAGGAGGAGGTAATGGGGGGAGAGAAGGGAGGGAAACTGGTTAGTATGTAAAATATATTAAAAATAAACAAATATAAAGTGGAGGGTGCTTTAAACAAAGAGGACAATATAGAACCAACTAGGAACTGGACACAGTACTGTGAGGAGGCAGATAATAGAGTCATTCCTAATCAGGTGGGACTCAGTACTAGCCAAGAAAACCAGGCTTTGGTACAGCTGAGAAGTAGGCAGTGGTCAGCACAAGAGACAGTTATGCTAGGGTGGTAGAAGTCAGGAACCACCAAACCCAGAAACAAAGCTATTGCCCTTTAGCTACTATCCAGGAGAGAACCGTCCGGCCATATCTGAACAAGCCTGGCAGCCAAGGTACACAGGGCCTCTCAGGAGTTGTTTTATAGTCCTGAGGCTTCTGCTGAGCTCTGTCTCCTTGGAGCTGAAGGCTGACTCCAACACCCCAGACCTGTCTGGAGTCTCCATATCTGACTTTGTTTGGTTCTCAGCAGGTAAGTTTGAATAGAGTTGGGAGAAAATCTCATTTGCCTTACCCTTAGGCAGAAAAATATTTCCAGAAGGAACCTGTGAGGTATTCAGAAATGCCTCCTGGAAGTCTCTGAAGAAGAGGCACCCTCGCATTAGTTACTTATTCAGCTGGTGAGGAAGAAGGAAACACAGATAAAGAAAGGGACCACAGTGAGAGGCAGCTCAGCGCCAACTCAGCTCTTTCACCATCTCCTCAGCCTGGTGAAAGATCTCCTGAGGAAAGACACAGAAATGCCGCTGTGGGCAAGGGAGTGAGGACAGTGGACACCATGGAGGGAAGCCATGGGAAAGCTTTCCTTCTGGATTAAAATAGGAAGTTCCTTACCTGGCCCTAGGGAGTGGGGTAATAAACAAATAAGGAAGTAGAGGAAAGAAAAGGTAACCCGGCCACAGAAATTACCTGCAAGTCTCTTTTGACCGCCCTTGGATCTCCCATGCACTGGACGCTCTGATCAAAATCTGCCAGGCGAATTGCTTTCTTGTCATCTAAGGGACAGTTTCAGAGGTGAATAAAAGTATTCCCTGTGGTGTGATAAAACATTTAAATAAATATGTAACATGATATGCAGTCTGTCATCTCTGAAGATAAATAATAATACATTCACTCATGTCCAGCCTCATTTGATCTACTAGGTAACTGTCAAGAGCAGGACACATATTTTTATTTTTACAGGACAGACAGTAGTGAAAGATGAGGGTGAAGTTAACCAGCTGTCCACAATCACAGCTCCTAGGACACAGCACAGTGTCCATGAGGCTACTGGCCATAGTTAAGGATACGGTCTATGGGTAACTAACAACTAACCAACAGCTAAAGGTGAAGGTTCTGAGTCTAGGAATGTCTTGGCATCGCTTTCCCTTCAGTTAAGCCCACCAGATTCAAGCTGCACTGGTCTTTATACCACCCTCATGGGTCAGAAATGAGATGGATCTGAGTTACAGTTCCCATTTCTAGAAGATTCCACAGAGTCCCCAGAGAGAGGAATGAATGAATGAAAGTTGTTGAGAACCAGATCTAAAGGCGAGTAAGTCAGGAATTTAGCCCTCAAGAGGTGACTATAATGTCTCCATGACGATCAGAAATAAATCTCCATTCTTTACCAATCTCTTAGTCTGTCATGTTCTGTTGCAGCCACACATGAAAGACCACCACAAAGAACTCACCTATTAAAATGTTTGGGGGCTTTAGATCCTGATGAGAGAATCCATGCAAGTGTAGTCTTTGAACAGCCACAAAAACAGACAATAGGACATTGCGGGAAAACTTATCTTCTCCGTTCTCCACCGGTTCCACTCTGTGTCCACCCAGGAACTCTTCCAAATTCCACTCACACAGGGACAGACACACATATAAACAGGTGTCGTAGGTCTCCCTTCCATAGAAAGTCACAAAGTTACTGTGGCCACGGCAGCCCTGCAGACAGGAGATTTCATTGCGTGCACGTGAGCTGTCCTCACGAAAGACCTTCACAGCCGCCTCTCGATTGTCATAGAACCCCAGGTAGATGCCTCCTTCAGAAGTGCTAGCAATTTTAAATTCATCATCTAGAAAGATCTTGAGTTTGCCAATCATGGGTCGATCCACTCTGTGGAGTTTTTTCAAGGCTTCTCCCCAGCGCGAACTGTGAGGCAACCAGTCACCAGCAGGAGGGACACTTTGATCATTAGCTCCATAATGGGAAAGAATCTCCATAATGGAAGTGTCATAATTCCGCCTGGCTATCCCAACAAGATCCCCACACCTGGTACTAGCTCCCTTAGCACATAACAACTGGACTGTTCTCTTCTGTTTGAGTTCAACAGCAAATTGCAGGGCTGTCTTGCCCTCATTATCTCTGTCGTCAATGTTTATGCCCTCCTGACTCAAGAGCATCTCTACCAAGCCTTTGTGTTTCCTTTCCACTGCCGCCATCAGGGGTGTCTTCCCCCCTTCTCCTCTCACATTGGCATCAGCCCCGTGGTGCAGCAGAAGGCGAGTAATCTCCTCCACATTTTCACTACCAGATTTCAGCAGAGTACGGATCAAGGCATTTCTGCCCATGTTGTCCCGGGCATCGACCTCTGCCCCCATGTCATTGAGGAGAACACTCAAGGCTTCTGTGTGGCCTTTTTCAGCAGCACTCATGAGAGCTGTGGCCCCTCCTTTCTTCAGTCGCCTTTTGTCCTCTGTTGTCTCCCGTCTCAAATTCACATCGGCTCCCTTATCAAAAAGGAATCTTAAGGCTTCTACTTTACCATACTCGGCAGCTTCCATGAAAGCCGTGAAGCCATTGATGTCACACTCATTGACATCTGCTCCTTCAGAGAGGAATCTCTGGAGCAGTCTCACGTCTCCATGGGTCCCAGCGATGATGAAGGGAGTGGCCCCATTCTTCTTCCTCCTGTGAGGGTCAGCACCATGACGAAGCAGGACATCTGCAATGTCTACCCTGCCAAGCTGTGCTGCATTGTGCAAAGGTGTCCAACCCCCGATGTCTTCACAGACATTGACATCAGCCCCTCTGTCCAGCAATTGCTGGATCCTGTCAACATTTCCCTCTTCAGCAGCTTTAATCAGCAAAAGACTGTCTTCATCAGTGGTCCTCTGACTGCTTGAGGATGTGGCTCCATCCTGGAGAGTGTCATGATCTGTGGTCTCCATGGTAGTCAGTTCAATTGCCTAGTGTTTTCAGCCTTTTCCTTGAGAAATGAATACTTGTATCTTTGGAACGCTATGAGAGTCTTGGAGTAGGAATTGGGCTTATTGTTCCGTCTTCTGAGGTCTCCTCTGTAGACAAGAGAAGAGGTGACTTTGTCTGACTCAGAATTCAGCTATACCCGTAAGGAGCCTTTACTAAACACATTTACTTGCTTAATTAGAAATTTGAAGTTGTAGACTATTGTGAATATATGTAAATTTAAGATGAGAAGATTATTACTCCATAGTCCCAGGCCCCCAAAGCAACTGCTACCAATATTTAGCATATGTATATACTGTTAAGTTTCAAACCTGGGACAAATAGCTGAGGTGCCTACTTAACTTATCAAAGAGGACCTGGCAGCCAGGTTCTCCCAGCATCACTCAGTTACTACCTGTCACAGGGTGTGGCTGGCAGACCCTGCACTCTCTACCTTGAACTCTAGCCTGGGGACTGGGCTGTCCTTCCCGCAGAGTCTCTTTTTAAGTGAGCCTGACACTTGGTTTTTCTGCCCCTCTTGTACCTTAAGCCTCCTGGCTACTGCCCTTGTCCCCCTCTCTCCTCTCTTTTTTCCCCTCTACCTCTCCCCACATTATCCAGCTCAGTCTGGTCATGCCCACTCTGGACTTTCCCAGATGTCCCTGCCTTTTTCTACATGCTCCCTTTAATCTACAATAAACTTTCCCCTCCACCATACCTAGGAGCAGTCATGGCCTTTCCTTTCTTTTGATTTTTTTTTCATGCATACAGATTAATTTTCAGGCTGGACTAAGGCTATGCTAAGTGACTCAGAACTTACATGCTTATTTTCATTTTCTAATCTTGAATATCTTAATATTTAAAATGATATTATAAAAATTAAACAGTTTAATACAATTCTGAATGAAGTGGTGGATCATTTAGCTCATTTCATCTGGTTTTCCTCACACAGATTTCTTATGATAGACGTCCTAACGCCTCATGACTGGTCTGAAAACTGCCTGCTTTCTTCAGTATTCTATAAACATTCTTACCTAGCAATTGGAGGCTCCTGGGGCTGCGGGAGCGCAAGCAAGCTCCCTTAAGAAGAAACATGTATTTCTTTGTCTCTGTCCATCTGAGTTTCTTCCTCCCAGGTGAGGCTGGTCACCTTACACGCACCACTGTGTTCTCCACACCCGTCCTCTTCACAACCCTGTGCGGTTTTTTTTTTTTTTTTTTTTTTGAGTTGTCGTGGAAAAACTTGACTAATGGGCTCAGCTTTGGGTTTCTGGGTGCACAGCTTTTGGCTTTTACTTCCTTATTGCACACTCCTAAACCGCTGACTTACAATAGTGTTTCCTCAATAGTGGACAACAATAAACAGGGACATAGGTCACAGTGAGTGAGGGAGTGTAGCAGGTACTGGGCACTGAATGGCAGAGTATATATTATGCCTCTTTGTGAATTTGTGCGTTTGTGTGTGAGTGCACGTGCACACGTGTGTGTGTGTGTGTGTGTGTGTGTGTGTGTGTGTGTGAAATCCTCTCTCCTGACCAGCATCATTTAGGCCAGTAGCCTCATTAGGTTCTAGTGTTGGATCCAGTTCACGCATCCAGTTCAGTCCTCGGTCAGCCCTTCTTAACCTGAACATCTAAACTGCTGTGCCTGCTACAAACCGCACAACACCTCCCTCTGAGATCTACACATGCCTTGTACTCTGACTACCAATTCCCAAAGTCACTGATCAAAGCTCTTAAGCCCCCAGTCCTGACTAAACTGGCTGTGAGGTGGGTTGGTGTGAAGTAAGGAGCAGAGGAAGAAAGCCCAGCCTGGAATGGAGCCCTCAGCACACAAAGCCTGCTTTCACTTTCATTTTCTTCCCACCCCCTCCTCCCCACCCCCACCCGCCACCCCATCCTTCCAGAGCTGCCCCAGAAGCAGGGACCATAAATAAATAGTGTGTGGACACTGACAACCTCAGGAGGGAGGGCTCAGGATCACAGGGCTGCTGCACAAACCCTCCAGGCTTTCCATCCCCACCCCCAACAGCCCTGAGAGAATAGGCAAACCAGGACTCCTCAGGCCCTGCTGGCTCTGCTCCTGCCCACCTTACCTTCCAAAGTCAGACTCCCCAGCAATCCGTTCTTTTGGCAGCAGCGATCTTTTAAGAACATCCCCTAGATGAACATTTCCTTGTGGCATGTCACTGAGTCAGCAGGGCGGAGCCAAGAGAGGAGTGAGAAAACGGAAGAACAGAAGTTGTACACACAGGGTCAGCCCAGACAGAGCCCCAGCAATCTTTCTCCCCATTAAAGAAAACAAAGACTCTACCTTGAGCAAGTAGGACAGACTTGATAGGCATCAGGGCGCTCGGCTTTGAGGTCACAGGACCCCACTTCACCCATCACTCTTGTATCTTCCCTGTTACCACAAATCCTGTGTTCTTGGAGGGAAACAAGAAAATAAACACATAACCCACTATGCAGCCAGCAGGAGCAGGGCAGGAAGAGCGTCTGTTGCCAGTGACAACTGGAAGCACTTGAGATGCAGCGGCTTATCCACAAACCTGAAGCTCCGCGTGGATGGAGCGTGTCCCTTAATGGGAACAGAGAAACCATAAGCAATCTTACAGGTAGTAGAGGACAAATATCGTGTGTAAGGATAGGATGTGTGTGTTTGGGCAGGCTGGGGGATGTCAGAAGACATCTGTGTGATCTGGGTTCTCTGCTTCTACATGCACATGGGTTCCAGAGCTCAAAATCAGGTTACAAGTCTTGTCTGGCAAGCACCTTTACCTGGTGAGCCCTTTATCAAGTGCTGTAAACATGTTGGTTTTTGAATAGCATAGAATACAATGTCCAGGTATGAAGGTGTTCCAGACAGTCCCTTTTTCTATAGGGTTCACAGCTGCTGTCTCCTAGAGCCTCATTACATCCTGCTGTTTCCAATCTCTCTTTGTGTGTTCTGCTTTAGTAACTGCACAGATAATAAATGGTAACAAGGATTATGCTGGTGGTGGTGGTTAAAATGGTGGTAATGATGCTTGAGAGTTGAGGTGTTGCTGTTGCTATGGTAGTGGTGGTGGTGGTTGATGTTTGCCTGGGGCTTCACCACAGCTCCTGGCATAACACCCCCCCCCACCCAGGGAGGATCAAGAGAGCCTGCCAACCAGTAACCCTTCCCCAGAGAAGGGTAAGACTACTCCCGCAGGCTATTTAAACTGCACACACACACACACACACACACACACACAGAATGAATATGTGGTCTCCAGGTTTCACATGGTCTCCCCTTTCCTCTCTTTTTCTCTCCGTGCTTTCCTGGCGTCACCCAGGAGCATTGCATTAAACTGGACGTCTTTTAATTCAGTTTAATTTGGTCTGATTGGAATTATTTGCGTCGGAGGAGAGGCTCGTCCAAAACGAAATACCTAACAGTTGATGTTGTTGGTGGTGGTTGTGGTGGCGGTAGTTTTGCTAATTACAGAGACATTTGCATAGCTCTTGGCTGTACTTCAGGAACTGTTCTGGGCACTTCACAGATACTAACTCAGAGAAGTAAATATTGCGATAGGTACTGGTCTTCACCCCATTTGACAGATAAGGAAAATGCAGCTTGCTGTGCTCTGGAGACTAGACTACATCACAGAGGACACAACTTCATTCTCGTTGAAGTCAGACAGGGAACAAAATCAATTCAATCGTGTATTGTATCTCATGGTGGAAAAACCCACAGAGAAAACTAAGGCAGACGTGGGAGGTTTTAGAGTACCGGAACGCGAGTCCCGGAGACACGGGGCAGGCAGCAGAGCGTTTGCCTTGCAAGCACAAGACCTGAACTCAATGCCCAGAACTCACACTGAAAAGAAAGGAGATGAAGGGTGCAATCCCCAGATCCTGGGTGATAAAGAATGGGTCAGGGTGGCCCAGTTACAACCCCACTGCTGGGGAGGCACAAACAGGCAGGTTCTCAGGGCTTGGACCAACCAACATGGTCCACTTGCTGCATTCTAGGCCAATAGGAGGTTTATGGTGCCTAAAGAATGACACCTGAGGTTATCTACTGGGCTACACACACACACACACACACACACACACACACACACACACTAAATACCAGATCTCCATAGAGCAGTTGGAGAAGAATGGACCTTTGTTCAGTAGGTGGCATTTGAACAAAGACTTGGGGAAGAGACAGAAGAACACACCACACGAATGCCTCAGAAGGAACTGTAGGTACAAAGGCCCTAAGGCAGGAACAATTTCTGTTCTAATCAAGGAACAGCTTAGAGGCCAGTGCTGCAGTAGTAGGAGGACAAGGGATGTGGAGTTTCAAGTCATGTCAGGCCTTGGAGACCCTTATAAGGACTTTGGATTCCATACAGAGAAAGAAGGCCACCAAAATTGGCGAGCTGGAGATGTCAAACTCTGTTTGGACCTTGGGTGTCTCTGTCCTTGAGTAATAAACAACAACCAAACTTAATTCATAGCTACAGAAAGCTTCTGCCTGGACTTCTGGAACCGCTAGCTGGGGCTCAGGCAATGCGTGCAGCCAGGCTTCAGTTTCAGGTGGCTGTCTGGCAGACCTAGCCATAAAGAAGCATGTTGTCAGTATGACTCGCTTCCATTTCCGTGCATGGGTGACAATCCTGGCTTTCTCTGTTGCTGTGGGAAGACACTGATTCAAATCAGCTTGGAGAGAAAGGGTTTATTTGCCTTATGGGTCGAAAGGATAAAAAAAAAATGCAGCGGAGTGGGTACCTTATGAAGAGTCCAAGAATGAGAAAATAAAAATGTAGATTCCAGAAATAAGAATGTAGAAATAAAGAAACATAAAGTTATAAGTCAAGGAGAATGAGAACAGACTGTCAGCCGCTTTCTCAGCAGCTCAAGGATCAGTCATTCACAGTGAGCTGTTTTCTCGGACGCTTACAAAGCCTCCAACAGCTTAGGTCATTTCATTTTACAACTGGCTGTTCTACTTACAAGGCCGGAGCTTCTCTC